AGGCCTCTTGGGCCGTCTTGGGCTAGCTTCGAGCCAACTTCGGCCATCTTGGTGGGCTCCTGGCCCGTCTGACGCCGTCGGAAGCCGATTGGGAGGCCTCTCTGGGCCGACTTGGAGCATTCTTGGGGTGCTCCAGGGCCGCCTTAGATGCCATCTTGGGCGTCTGGGAAGCCTCTTGGCCCATCTTGGGGCCCTCTTGGGGCCGTCTTGGGGGCGTCTTGGGCCGTCATGGGGCCATTTTGGAGGCCTCTTGGGCGATCTTGAGCCGATCTTGGGAGCCTCTTGGGCCGTCTTGGGCCGTCGGAAAGCCCTTGGAGGCCTATTGCAGGCCTCCTGGGCCGTCGTAGACCATCTTGAGGCCATCTTGGGCCGTCTTGGGTGCATCCTGCAGCCATCTTAGACGTCTTTGAGGCCATCTTGGCTGTCTTGGAGGCATCTTGGAGGCCATCCTGGGCCATCTTGGCCGTCTTGGAGGCCATCTTGGGGCAACTTGGGGCAACAGAGGCATTGACGGGTGGATTTTCGGGAATGTCCCGGGACCCCGGCGGGACGGGCCGAAGCCACAGGGGGAGTTCTTTTGGAAAAAGAACCAACGCGATAGGATTCGGCACGCCAGGCACAATTTTGATGAATCGACAGGGGGCGGCGGATCGAAGACGCCTACGGCGAATCAGCGCCGCCCCCTGCCTTTTTGGAAGCGCCTAAGTGGCCGAACGTTGAGGCCAAACCTGCCAAGCTATCGGACCATGTGTTCCCCGAATCGGTTTGGAAAGCCTTCGGAGAACACGTGGGCATCTTGAAGGTCATCTTGGCCGTCTTGAGGCCATTTGACTCTTTCTGGCCTTCTTGGAGGACGTCTTGGAGGGCTCTTGGACCGTCTTGGAGGCCATCTTGAGCGTCTTGGAGACCTCTTGGGCTGTCTTGGGGGCCTCTTGGGGCCGTGTCTTGGGCCTCTTGGGCGATCTTTGGGGGCACTTGGGCCATCTCGAGCCGTCGGAAGGCCGAGAAGAAGCAAATTCCAACATCCTTCGGGCCCTCCTGGAGGACCTCTTGCAGGCCTCTTGGGCTGTATTGGAGGCCTCTGGGGGGCCTCTTGGGCAGTCTTGGACCGTCTTGGACTCTCTTGGGCCGTCTTGGAGGCCGTCTTGGACCATCTTGGGCGGACTTGGAGGCCATCTTGGGCCATCTTCGCGATGTTTTGAGGAGGTCCCGAGCGAAACGGCCGTTTCAGGGAGGATTTGTTGTGCATCTTCGCGATTGGTTGAGGATGTCCCGAGCGAAACGGCAGTTTTTTGGGAGGATTTGTTGTGCACGTTGGTTTTCTTGAGGATGGCCCGAGCGAACGGCACGGTGGCGGGACGGGCCGAAGCCCATTGGGAGAGTTCTTTTGGAAAAAGAACCAAAACCAAAACCGATAGGATCTAGCACGCCAGGCACCCCTGCGATGAATCGACAGGGGGCGGCGGATCGAAGACGCCTACGGCGAACCACCGCCGCCCCCTGCCTTTTTGGAAGCGCCTATGTTGCCGAACGCTGAGGCCAGACCTGCCAAGCCATCGGACCATGTGTTCCCCGAATCGTTTTGGAAAGCCTTCGGGGAACACGTGGGCATCTTGAAGGTCATCTTGGCCGTCTTGGAGGCCTCTTGGGCGATCGTTCGGCGATCTTTGGGGGCTTTTGGGGCCGTCTCGGGCTGTCGGAAGGCCGAAAAGAAGGAAATACCAAAATCCGTCAAAAACCTAAGGAAAATCAATGTGTTTGGCCTCTTCTGGCCTTCCTGGAGGCCCTCTTGGGGGCCCCTTGGGCCGTCTTGGGCTAGCTTCGAGCCAACTTCGGCCATCTTGGTGGGTTCCTGGCACGTCTGACGCCGTCGGGAGCCGTCTTGGGGGCCTTTCTGGGCCACCGGGGAACCCTCTTGGGGCGCTTCGGGGCCGTCTTGAAGGCCATCTTGGGCGTCTTGGAGGCCATCTTGGGCGTGTTGGAGGCCTCTTGGGCCGTCTTTGGGCCCTCTTGGGGCCATCTTGGAGGCCACTTGGGCCGTCATGGGGCCCTCTTGGGGCCCTCTAGGGCGATCTTGGGGGCCTCTTGGGCCGTTTTGAGCCGTCGGAATGCCGAGAATAAGCAAATTCCAAAATCTTCCAAAAAATTAAGAAAAAAATGATTTAGGCATCTTCGGGCCCCCATGGAGGACTTCTTGGAGGCCTCTTGGGCCGTCTGGGAGGAGGCTTCTGGGGGGCCTCTTGGGCCGTCTTGGGCCGTCTTCGACTCTCTTGGGCCGTCTTGGAGGCCGTCTTGAACCATCTTGGGCGGACTTGGAGGCCATCTTGGGCCATCTTCGCGATGTTTTGAGGAGGTCCCGAGCGAAACGGCCGTTTCAGGGAGGATTTGTTTGTGGAGTTTGTGCTCCTGGGCAATCCTCCCGGTACCCCGGCGGGACGGGCCGAAACCCATTGGGAGAGTTCTTTTGGAAAAAGAACCAAAACCCAAACCGAGAGGGCCTGGCACGCCAGGCACCCCTGCGATGAATCGACAGGGGGCGGCGGGTCTAGTGGCTTTCGGCCCATCCCGCCACCTTGCCTGGGTGGTGGGTTAAAGGCTTCTTGGATATTCGTTTAGATATCGTGGGGAGCCTCTCGGGGGCCTCTTGGAAGCAGTTTTGAAGCCAGGCCCGTTTTGGGGCCTCTTGGGGTTTTTTGGGGGCCTCTTAGGGACCTCGTGAGGCTTCTAGGCGGCCTCTCGGGCTCTCTCGGGGGCCTCTTGGGCCTCCTGGGGGCTTCTTTGGGCGGAGGTTCGAATGGCCAGTTCGCTTTCCTTCTCTAGGGCCCCCCTTGGGGCCGTCTCGAGGCCGTCTCGGGCGACCTTTGGCGCCTCTTTGGCAGTTTTGGGGCTCTCTTGGGCCGTCATGGGGCCATCTCGGGTGCCTCTTGGGCCGTCTTGGGGCGGTCTCGGGAGCCCTTGGGGCCGTCTTGGGGCGTCGGCAGCCCGAAAACTGTAATCCCAGGGGGTCCTGAGCACAGGAAATAGAGGACACTTGCGGACCTGCGGACACCCCACTTCGCGCCTCGCGGCACGGCGGCGGATCTCCATTCGGAAGTTGGAGAAAGGGGGCCTCGTGAACCAGTATGATGCGCATCTTGGTCTTCTCAGGCTCAGGAATGCTGCTACACGTATCCCAGAATCCTGTGCCACCGCCCATGTGGAGACTCGTTGGAATGCATGGAGTAGCTCAGCCAGGTATCGCTCGGAAGCTCGTCCCTGTCGCGGCTATGGTTTTGATTTGGGCGATAAGCTTTGGCATGATCTTCGATGTCCCGTTGTTTGTTCGAGTCGTGGGCGCGTTCCTTCCCCGTCTTCCCGATCTTGGCCCGGTTGAATTGTCTGGTCCTGCCCACCTCCCGCTTCTCTTTCTCTCTCGCCTGCCTCGTCCCTCTCAGTTCTCGTTTTGTTCCTGTCCTTCTGTTGTTTTACCTCATGCCCAGTAGTTTCAACACGCTGCGCGCGCTTGATGCTGTTCCGTCGGCATCATTCGCCGCCCACGCTCGTGCGCGGGCCCGCCCAACTGCGGGCAGGTCTCGCATCGCCAGCTCCTTGTTTGGAAGGGGATGGTTTTTTCCCCGCGACGCAGGCGACCTGCCGCCCGGCGCGGCCGAGGACGCAGGGGAGTTGTTGCGGGATGGTTCGGGCGCTTGCCCCCGTCTCGCTTTTTTGTCCGCGTGCCCCCTTTCTCGTCTCTTTCGGTGGAATGTCCCTCCGATCTTTTTCCTTTCTCCCGCGCGCGCTTGGGGGCGAGCGGGAGGAAGGCCAGGTGAGCGCAGGTAGAGGAGGAGGAGGAGGAGGAGGAGGAGGAGGAGGAGGAGGAGGAGGAGGAGGAGGAGTTGGAGGAAGAGGAGGAGGAGGAGGAGGAGGAGGAGGAGGAAGAGGAGGGCGAGGACCAGTGTAAACCCAAGACCCGCCACCGATGTTGGAACGAATCCTTCCTCCAAGCTCCCTCCTCATAGGCCGTTACAAGGACTCGCGTCCATTGAGAGAAAGTGCTCAGTTGGGGGGCAACTGTTGGAAGATCGTGCAGCGTGCCAAAACACAATTCTCGGAATTTCAAAACCACGAATCAGTTTGATTGTTTCGTCTTGACGATCCTGAACCATGCCAGAGCCCAATGCCTGAGACTTCACCCCAGCGAATCAACATAGTTGTTGCGGCGTGGCAATCCTGAATCCTGAATCTCCACCCGCGGGAATCAGTGAATCTGTTTTGCAAATGCTCTAAACGAATGTGCCGGGTGGTGAGGCCAAAGGCACATCTTGAAAACCACCCGCCCTCGATGTGTCCAGCGCTTCCAATGTTTTAAGGCGGGTGTGCGCAGAGCTAAAGCCAGAACCACATTTTGACTACCACCCACCCTCAACCCGTTAACGTATGCGCGCGGCGCTCAGGCCAGAACCGCATGTTGAAGGCCACCCGCGTTCAATCCGTGCAGATCTTGCAGATTTTTGTTGACGACTGCGCGCGACGCGAAGGCGAGCGCCATAGTTTAACTACCACCTGCCCACTATATGTGAAACCTTGCAGGTCTTAAGACGAGTGTGCGCGGCGCTAACGCGAGAGCCATATTGAAATCCATCCGCCCTCCATCTGTGAAATTGTTGCCAATTTCGAAGCCTCAGGATCATAAGCGGAAAAGGACGTCTGAGGCGAAACGCTCGACCCGCCCTTTCGACCAGTCGAGGAGCGCGACAGGGAGGAGTTATTCAGAAAGGGGGTCGGCGACGACGCCCAGAACGAGGGGGGGGAAGGGCAGGAGGTGGAAAACGAACGGGGATGACGGGAGTGATGGAGGGAGGGAGGGACGGACTGAACAGGGCGGAAGAAAGAGAAGGAAGGAGCGAAGGGAGGAGGGAGAGAGGAGCGAGCGAACGAACCAGGTGGGAGGAGGCCCGCTCATATCTTCCATCCCCTTGTCATCCATCCTCGCAGGGCTTGCCCCCCTCCTCCACCCCCAGGCCGTTCCGCAGGACCTGGCGGGCGAGGAGCGCCTCACCCCGAGGGTGTCCCTGGTCAGGCGTCATCGTCGTCGTTGCCGCCGTCGTGGTGGTCTTGGTGGTGGTTCGTCGTCGTCGTCGTCGTCGTGGTCGTCGTCGTCGTCGTCATCGTGGCCGCCGCCGTCGTCGTCGTCGTCGTCGTCGTCGTCGTAATTAGCACAAGACCGATGGCATGATGCGGCTGGCTCAGGAGACCTTCCAGGAGTTCAACAGTATCTGGCGACCCTTGCTTCTGAAGTCCGCGCGGGACACTGGGAGTCAGGGAAATCTTGAAGTACTCGAAATCTTGCGCCCGATCACTATCATGACCGATCGCTCATCTGGGTCGTGGTCGTCGTTGGTGGTGGTCATCGTTGCAGTCCGAGCAAGATCCGTTCAGAAACGGTGCCATATTTTCCGAATTGGGTTTTACCTTCGGAGATCTTGAACATTTGTTGGGAAACCGGGGGGGGGCGGACGCTGTCGCGTTGGTGTTGCCCAGGGTGCCTCCGTTTCCCTTCTTTCCAAGAGGGGCCGCCTGGGTCCTTTGGCTTTGAAATTCCTTACAAGGCGTTGCCCGGGTTCTTTGATCTTTGTTCCGTGGTTATTTGGTTTTTGGTGTTTGGATTATTTGTCGTGGTTCCTTGGTTTCTTGGTCTCGGGTCTTTGGCCCTGAATCCTTACTTCCTTGATCCTTGGCGCAGTTGTTCCTTTACCTTGTTTCCTTATTGCCTCGCTACGCAAAGCCAAGCAATGCCAAACAACGCAAAGCAAAGCCAATCAATGCCACGCAATGCCAAACAATGCCACGCTCTGCCAAGCAATGCCAAGCAATGCCAAGCGAGGCCAAGCAATATACCAAGCAATGTTACGTCGCGTCGGGTTTATGTCCCGAAGGAGGGATCTCGTTGAACATCTGGTTGAGTGTATGATCATAGTTCTCGCGTTCCTCGTTACGCGCCAGACGGATGCAAGGCGGTTCCTTTTTACAACGTGGCCGTCCCCATAGTGGCAGGCCCATGTGGTGATGGTATTTCCAAGGATGCGCTCCTTCAGGAAAGCTTCTGGGGACGCATGGGGAGGGGACTTGGGACGAGAGAGTATACTTCAGCATCGTTGATGATTATGGAGTTACTCTGGGTCTCCTCCTTCCATCCGCCTTCTCCTCCTCCTGCTGCTGCTGCTGCTGCTCTTCCTCATCCTTCTCCTCCGCCCTCTCATCCTCCTCCTCCGCAGATTTGCGAGACTCTCCCCCTCGGGGCTGTCCTAACCTAGCCTTCTCCCGCTCCACCGCCTCTTTTTCCTCCTCTCTTGCTTTAGCACCGCAGACATTGCTCTTTTGACCTTGCAAGAGTGATAAGGATGGTAGATATTTCAACACGTGTCGCAATGCATGAGTCGAGGGCGGCTCTTGTTGAAAATGAAGCTCTCGCTTGAGACCACACTTGAAGTTCTCGACCACAAGGGTAAATTTGTGCAGCCGTTGCACGGACGGGGCAGTTTTCAAAACGGGGGCATCGTTGCACACCTCGCTGGTTGACACGATCCTAGTCTTTCAAGTTTCTGCTTACGCGCCAGAAGAATGCAAGGCAGTTCCGTTTCGCTCCGCATCCTTCTCCTCCTTTTCCACCTTGTCCCTTCATCGCCCTCCGCATCCATCGTGGCTCCGTCCCCTTGTCCTCTTCTTCCTCCGCGGGCCCTGGACCTTACATTCGCTCCCCCCCCCAGCAAGGGCCGCTCGGCTTAGGGCGATGGGCTGCTGGGGCAGCCGCGAGGCCAAGGGCGAGGGCGCCGCACTGATCGCGCCCAGCGGGGCCCCCGCCCCCGCGGGCGACTCCCCCGCCGAGGGCCGCTCGGCCTCCGACGCCGGCGCCGCCCTGCTCAGCACGCCCCCGCCCCTGCCGCACACGCCCTGCGCAGCTGCTGGCGAGGCGGCCCAGCCCGACGGGGCGCTGGCGGAGCGGGGGGACCAAGACGGCGCGGAGGCGCCGGCGGAGCCCGAGGGCCAGGGGCGCGGGGCTGCGGCGCTCGCCGAGGCGCAGCCTCCAGCGGCGGAGCCGGCGGGCCAGGAACGTGAGGCGGCGGCGGCGCTGGGGGCGCACGTGGCGGCGGAGCTGGCGGCGGTGCCCAGGGCGCAGCCGCCGGCAGGGTCGGTGGTGGAGCCGGAGGGGCCGCAGGCCACAGGCGCTCCAGAGGAGCCGCCCCCAGAGGGGGCCGCCGCAGCCCCGCTGGACCCGTGGGAGACCCTCATCCAGGCCGGCGCCGTCCGCCCAGAGCTGCCCTGGCACGCCGCGGCCGCGGCCGACAGCGACCAGACGCTGGCGTGGCACCTGGCGCAGGCCGACTCCCGCAGTGGATGCCTGGAGGCCCGTGGGGAGGACAAGGCCACTGCCCTGCACGCCGCAGCACGCGCTGGTGCCGTGGGGGCGTGCCGATACCTCCTGCTGCAGGGCGCGGACCCCTGCGCTCAGGACCGCGAGAGATGCAGCCCGCTGCACCTGGCCGCTCTCGGCGGCCACTTTGCCGCCTGCGAGCTGCTACTGGAGCCTGGCGTGCTCTGGTCGCCGGGCGACCTTTCGGACGGCTCGGTGCCATCTCCGCCAGAGAACTGGCCTGGCGTAACCACCACCGACCTCTGGCGGCGCACGCCTCTGCACAAGGCGTCGGAGAGCGGGAACTTGGAAGTGATCCGGCTGTTGGTCAGCCGCAAGGCGCAGGTGGAGAAGTCGGACCGGGAAGGCAACAGCGCCTTGCACAAGGCCGCCGCGATTGGGCATGAGGCAGCGGTTACTGAGCTCTTGCGGCACCCGCGTGTACAAGCAGACATGGCGAATGGCGATGGGAATTCAGCACTGGACCTGTGTGTTCAGGGCCGCCACTGCGGGGCAGGGGACGCGCTGGTGGCGGCTAGGGCGAAGCTGGCGAAGGATGCCCGCAAGAAGGCGCCGACTTTGCTCGACGCAGCGCTGACTGGCCTGCCATTCTTGTGTACCTACGTGCTTAGCAACGACGTTGGCATCGGCGCAGCCTCCGTGAAGCGGCAGCTGCAGAGTGCCGACGACAACGGCCGCACGGCGGCGCTGGTGGCGGCGCGCGGTGGCGTCGTGGAGCTGCTGCGCAGATTGGTGGAGGGCCGTGCAGACCCTGCAGAGGTCGCGCCCTGCGGCTGGGCGCCGCTGCACGAGGCCGCCGCGGCGGGGCAGCAGGACGTGGCGGCCTGGCTGCTCGAGCGGCGGGAAGACATCGCAGCGGCCGACGCCCAGGGCCGCACCGCGGTGTTCCACGCCGCCGAGGGCGGGCACGCGGAGATGCTCGAGTGGCTGACGGAGCGCGGGCTCGCACACGACGCCCAGGACGGCTGCGAGCGCACCCCCCTGCACGCGGCTGCCAGCAGTGGCCATCGCGCGGCGTGCGAGGCGCTGCTCGTCGGCCTCGGCGAGGCGGAGGCCCTGGAGCTCGTCGGGGCGCAGGACTGGGAGGGCGCCTCGGCCGCCCACCTGGCCATGCGCGCGGGGCACGCCGAGACCTGCGCGCTGCTGGCCCGGCAGCGGGCGGACCTGCGGCGGGCGCTGGACTTCGGCGTCACGCCGCTGCAGATCGCCGCGGAGCTCGGGCACGGCGGGGTGCTGGAGCTGCTGCTGGCCAGCCTGGACTCCGAGGGCCGTGACGCCGTGGCGGCCGCCGTCTCGGCCACGAGGGTCTCCGACGGCCGCTGCGCCTGGCTGCTGGCCGCTGCGGAGGGCCACGCCGCAGTCGCCGCGCGGCTCTGGGAGGCTGCCGGGGGCCCCGCGCTCGGCCGCGCCGCCGACCGGGACGGGCGGGACGCGCTGCTGCTCGCGGCGCGCGGGGGCCACTCGGAGCTCTGCCGCTGGCTGCTGGACGTCCGGGCCGGTCCGTCGGGCGTGGCGGTGGCGGACGCCTGCAGCTGGACGCCGCTCCACATCGCCGCCGCGGAGGGCCACAAGGCCGTCGTGCGGCTGCTGCTGGACGCCCGGGCGGACGTCGCCGCCGTCGACGTGGACGGCAAGAGCGCCCGCGAGTGGGCGGCGGCGCGGCGGCACCCGGCGGTCGAGGCCGCGCTCCGCGACGCGGAGAAGGCCGCCGCTTCGGCGTAGTCTCGTATGAGCGCGGGCCCAGGGAGGCTCCAGCAGGCGAGCAGCCGAGGCGAGAGGGAGGTTCCTGCTCGTCACGTCGTCCTGGTCCTGCCGCTCCCGCGCGCGTGCCTCCCGCTTCTCGTCACGTCGTCCTGGTCCTGCCGCTCCCTCGCGCGTGCTTCCCGCTTCTCCTGCTCATCGTGCTCCTTCCCCCCTCTTCCTGCACCCTCCTCGTCCTCCGCGACGCCAGCGGTGGCGTGGTGCCGAAGGCGGGGCCCATCGAAGCTGTCTGGCATTTGGGGCCTCCTCTGTTGGCGGAGGGGGCGCGCGAGCGAGATTGCGAGAGCGTGGAGCGCTCTGTGGACACGGCCCTTGGGCACAATTGGCCGAGGCGCTCTATGAAGAGCCCCATCGCCGAGAGGGCCAAGGGCCGACCCCTCTACTCTCTGGCGGGGAGGCCTGCAAAAGGTCCTCAGGAATAGACGGAGACAAAGAGCTCACTGAAAGCAAGCTCTTGATGTTCCCAGGGAGTAAACTTCCTGCTTGCACTGGGATGCCATTGCCTTCAGTAAGCTCAAAAGTGCTGCTTTCAACGGCTTCTCCGTCGGCGGAAGCTGATGCCGTGGAGGGTTGGCCCGAGACCGACGGAAGTGAGAAAGCAGATTCAACCCGAAGGGGGGGTGAGGACTCCTTCCAAGACTCCCAAGCCCTTCTGAGACGCCCACCCGCCTTCCCACAAAGCCGCCCCAGTTACGCGCCGCCGACGTGACCCATCCTGCTCTCCATCGTCCTCCCCCCCTTTCCGCCCCTCTTCCCCTCCTCGGCCTCCCCCTATCGTTCCCTCGCTCGTCCGTTCCCTCCTTCCCTCCCCTCCCGTTCCTCTCTTCTCCCTCCGGGCACTTCGCCTCTTCCTGCCCCTCCTCCCCCCCCCGCAGCTCACGTCCCGCAGGAGAGGGCCTCGCTGACGGCGGAGATCGCCCGGCTGAGGGGGGAGCTGGAGCAGTCCAGAGCGAGCCCCGAGGCCACGAGGCAGGCCAGCCACGGCCGGGGGAGCCGTGGCCCGCCCGCCCCCCCCCCTTTGAAGGGTGAAAGTGTGGGTCGGGCGCAGGGTCCCGGCAATGATGTTTTTAAAGGCCATGAATGGGCGATACATCCTCGATTGCTGTGTTCGGCGGGGGAGCCAATTGAAGCCCCCCGCCTGCACCCGCGCGCGAGACTTGAGGGGAAAGGAAGCAAGGGGGCGGGGGCTCGGGAAAGGCGACGAAGGCAACGCGCGCTAAGGGCGCAAAAAGAAATGGTTGGAACACACGAAAGCGGTCAGGTGAGTGTCGGAATCTGCCCAGCCAATCTGACATGCGGAACACTGCGCCTCAGTTTTGGGGATCTTGAAGGCCAGGGCAAAATGTGAATTCACATTGTGGGGAAACGCAAAATGTGAATTCACATTGTGGGGAAACGCAAAATGTGAATTCACATTTTGGGAAAAAGGAAAATGTGAATTCACATTTTGGGAAACAAGGAAAATGTGAATTCACATTTTGGAATTTTGTGTAGGATTCTTTATGAAGGGGCCAGAATGTGAATTCACATTTTGGGAAAAAGGAAATGTGAATTCACATTTTGGGAAAAAGGAAAATGTGAATTCACATTTTGGGAGAATCGCGGGGCCCAATCCAAATCTGTCTTGGGGGTCGAGACGTCATCGTTTGGGAACATACGCGATCATCAACCGCTCAATCAAGACACACTTGCACTCCACTTCGCCGGCCCACACGCAATATGCAAGAACGCCCGCACGCATGAACGATAAGGGATGGACGGCGCGCGTGCCCGCGCGGGCAACGCGCGTGCACGAATGACTGGCCATCAATGACCGCCAGCATTGGATGCCAATCGTACCCGATCGCATACATGAACGATACATTGAGCATACATGGGCCATTCAGCCCCCATTGAAGACCCCCTGTTGCGGACCCCCTCTTTCACCCTCCAACCCCCCCCCCCCCAAAGGGGGACACCTGGGCTCCGACGCCCACCCTCCAGGCGTGCGGCGTCGGCACCTTTGCACTCCACGGAGCCGCCCCCCGAAAGACCTGGTCCCCTGCCCCCCAGGACCGGCGCTCCAGCCCGAGCCGCTCTCGGACCCCCGCCGGGGCCTGGCAGGGGCCCCCGACCGCCTTCGCCCGTGAGGCGCCGCACGATGCGAGGATGTCGGCTCTCCGGGCTTCCCCTCGGCACGAACGGCACGGGTACGGAAAGAATGGGTACAACGCCCAGCACCATGTCCTGTTCATTCTGACCAGGACTCGCTGTCGGTGTCGCCGCGGCCTGTGCACATTTGAGACGGAAGGCCGCCTGCCCAACAGCGGCCGCTGTTGCTTTGGGACAACATGTGTTGCTGGGCGCATCGTGCCCATCTTTTCCGTGCCCACCTCGGGCGTCCAAATCCCCAGGGCGGCAGGCAGGGAGCGCAGCTCGCCCAGCTGTGGCTGCTCGACGAGGCCGACGACCGGCACCCCGGGCACGGAGCGGGGTGCCCAGGGCGACGAGGCCCTCAGGCAGCTGCAGATCGACGTGCAGCGGGAGCCGCCGGGGGGATCCTGGCCTCCCCGCTGATCGAAGGACAGACACACACGTTGTTCATGTCGAAGTCTTCGAAAGTGCTGTGATTTTTTTGTTTGAGGGGGGGGGGCAGGATCCTTTCATTTCTAATTCTTCTATCCTGGGCCTCTTCCTGGCCACTGGGGGGCCAGGAACAATTCGAAACGAGCACGATTAGAAATGAGCGCGATTGGAAATGAACGACGTGTAGTCATGACTTCTCTGAGCTCTGCGCGGGTTTCTTGAGGATCCGCGCTGGCATCCCAGGGGGGGGGGGTTCAGCGCAGATCCAAGAAGTCCGCGCGAACGCCGAAAGTGCATTGTTTCGGAGGGCACCAACTATACACCAACACCGATCCTGGCCCAGGATCACCCTGGGCCCAGGATCGGTGTATATGCCTTCTTGCGCAAGGCAGGAGGGCGTATGCACCGATCCTGGGCCCAGGGTGCTCCTGGTCAGGATCGGTGTTGGTGTATAGTTGGTGCCTCCCCATTGTTTTGCACCAGGGCTGACACAAAAACAACTCGGGATGCAGAGCTGGTCCTGTGGATGGGGCCCCAACCTCTGGGGAGCCGCGCCGTGAACACATGATCGATCCACGAACTTAGAAAGGGATATATCTCTATATATATATGTATATATATAGAATTGCCCTAACTTGTGCCTTAGGCAGTGGCAAGGCTGAGTGAGTCCATGTGGCCGTTCATACCGTGTCAGGGATTGTCTTGTGCTGCGCTGCACCGTGCTGTGCCTGGCTGTGCTGCATCGTGCAGTTTCATTATGTGTTGAATGGTGCTGTGTCCAATTTTGTTGTGAATCCAGTCGTCCTCGGCGCACGTGAATCTGGACTGATCTGGATATTTCGTTTGAGCATCGAAATGTGAAGGGCGCTCAACCAGCCGAGCTCAAGATCCGCCGCCTCCTGTTGGCTTGCCAGGGGTGCCTGGCGTGCCAGATTTCAGATGGTTGTTGATTCTTGTAGAACTCCCCCTGGGGCTGCGGCCGATGCCGCCGGCCACCCATAATCGCAAACGTTTTTCCCGCTCTAGATGTCTCCAAGATGGCCCAACATGGCCTCCAAGACGGCCAAGATGGCCCTCAAGTTCGCCCAAGATGGTCCAAGATGGCCTCCAAGACGGCCCCAGAGCGTCCAAGATGCCTCCAAGTTTGCTCAAGAAGCCTTCAAGTTGGCTCCAAGTTAGCCCAATATGGCCTTTGATTATTTTCGGCCTTCTGACGGCCCGAGACGGCCCAAGAGCCCCCAAAGATGGCCCGAAGATCGCCCAAGAGGCCTCCAAGATGGCCCCAGAACGGCCCAAGAGGCCCCCACGACGTCTCCAACGGGGCCCGAAGAGGGCCCAAGAGGCTTCCAAGGTGCCCAAGATGGCCTCCAAGACGGCCCTGGAGCACCCCAAGAGAGCCCCAAGTCGGCCCAGAGAGGCCCCCAAGACAGCTTCCGACGGCGTCAGACGGGCCAGGAATGCCCTAAGACTGCCAAAGAAGCCCCCGAAGAGCCTCCAAAGGCTCCCAACAGGCTCAGGGAGGCGCCCAAAATGCCTCCAAGACGCTCCCGGGAAGCTCCCAGCAGGCCCCAAGAGTGCCCCCGAGGCTCCCACAATGTCCCTTCCTCCTCCTCCTCCTCTTCCTCCTCCTCCTCCTCCACCTCCTCCTCCACCTCCTCCTGATCTTCCCCGCCATCCTCCCCCAAGTGTTCCCCGAGGGGTTTCCACAACGGCTGGTGGAACACATGGTCCGATAGCTTGGCAGGGCCACGTGGGCGATTCCAAAAGGCAGGGGGCGGCGGTGATTCGCCGTAGGCGTCTTCGAGACGATTTAGTTCGGAAACGGGATAACCGACATGGGGCGCAGGGCGCATGGACGCACCACAGGATGCGCCGGGGGGGCGTACCAGGAGAGTCTCAGGGGGCGCACCAGTGGACGCGCCAGGGGACGCCCCAGGGGACGTGCCACGGAACGCGCAGGAGAAGCGCTAGAGGACGAGCCAGGGCACGTGCTACGGAACGTGCCAGGGGACGCGGTACTGGACGCGCTTGAAGACGTACGAAGGACAGCGCCGAGGGGCGCGCCAGGGAACGTGTCGAGGGACGCGCCGCCGCGAAATGTGTCAGGGGACGCGCTAGGAGACGAGCCAGGGGAGGCGCTAGGGGGCGGGTCAGGGGACGCGCCGCGCGACGTGCTAGTCGACGCGCCAGGGGACGCGCCAGGGAATAGGCCGATGGACGTGGCATGGGACGCGACGCGGGACGTACCGCGTAACGTGCCAGGGACGTGCCGTGGGGCGCGTCAGGACGCGTGCAGAGGGACATTCTGGGGGACGAGCAAGGGGACGTGCCAAGGGGACGTGCCGCGCACGCTTCATGTGACGCGCCACCACACGCGCCAGGGCAAGCGCCAAGGGACGTACCAGGGGACATGCCAGGGACGCGCCGCAGACGTGTCGATGGGACTCGCAAGCCAGGGCACGAGCCAGGGGACGACTCACCCTGATCAGCAAGTCTTCTCCGTTGGATCCGCGCTCCCAGTGCCACGATCCCTCGTGAAGTTCACGTCCGCGCTCCCAGAGCCACAATAACTAGCAAATCCCGCTGGAACCGAACTCCCAGCGCCACATCCCTTCGCAAAGTATGCTGGGCCCGCACTCCCAGCGCCACAATCCCTTGTAGACGATGCTGGGTCCGCGGTCCCTGGGCCACGCTCCCTTTTGAAGTGTGCTGGGTTTGCGCACCCAGGGCCACGTCCCTACGTAAATTACACTGCGCCCGCGCTCTCAGAGCCACGACCCTTCGCAGATTTCGTAGACGTGCCAGGGGACACGCCAGGGGCCGTGCCAGGGGGCGCGCCAAGGTCACGCGCAAGCCAGGGCCCCCCTCGCCCCGCCCCCTCGTGCCGGCCGCCAACCGGGTCGCCAGCACGATGGAGCTCTCGACCCCTGCCTGTCCCAGGCTGGCTGAGTCGGTTTGGGACGGTCGCGGGGCACGGGAACGGTTTCCAGACCAACGATTTGGAACATCAGTTTGGCGACGGGCCTCACCATGGGAGGGTGTGCGTGGCGCACGGCGTGCCCCTCTCTCCATATACCGCTCGCCGCGGGACAGCGCAGACAGCGACCAAGCGCGCAGAGGCGCGCTGAATGTCCTGCGAGCCACGGAGCTAGCGAAGGCGTACCGTAACGGACGGGTGGGCGGCAGGCAAGTTAGACGATTGGGGCCGCAGGTGGAGCTCCTTCTGGGGCACGATGCTATGCAAATTTGCCCACTTGCGACCATAGGTGGAGCTCCTCGCTGAGAACGCAACGTGAGGGCTGTGCCAAAATAAGCGGAGGGCAATACTTTGTGCAGGTGTGCAGCAGATTGTGCCCCCTGTTAGGCACGAAAGGAGCGAGGGGCGTGCCGAGATTAGCTGGGAGCGGAAGGCAAAGGCAGGGGGAGGAGGATGATGTGGAATTGCGAGGAGGATAAGGAGCCTCGCGGCGCTGCGTAGTAAAAACGTCGACCCAGCAACACAGGCGGGTGGGGAAAAATATGGCGCGAATCTTTCGAGCCGTTGGAGATCAATGCACGTTGAGTACAACCTGGTTCCCAGGCCTTCCCTTCGACATACATCTGCTCAAGACCCGTTCCCACGGCCCTTCCTGGGGTCAACCTTAATTGGATGTTCCAAGCTGCATCCAGCCGTCGCGACAAGAATTTTCAGAAACGCGCTAACACAACGACGCGAACATTATGAGCACAGCATCAGCACACACACACACACACACGCACACACACACACACACACACACACACGCACACACACACACACACACGCACACGCTCGCACACGCACAGGCTCGCACACGCACACGCACACGCACACGCACACACACACATGCGCATACCCGCAAACAAACAAACAAACACACACACACACACACACACACACGCACACGCACACGCACACGCACACACACATGCGCATACACACAAACAAACAAACAAACACACACACACACACACACTCCGAGGTCCGCGCAGATGTGCGGGTTCGGCTCTGGAACTTCGCTCCTCTGGCGCACTGAACGTGCCAGAGGCGTCGCCAGGGAGGTCCAGCGCCGACCCAAGAACTCCGCGCGGACCCCCGCCATGTCGTGGTCATGTCATGCATGAGTTGCTCCATATTCTACGACGGCGTTCACTAGGGAAGGTCCCAGAAGCCCGAAAGAGGAGGAAACATTGCCCATGCTCTTCCATGGCGCTGGTCGCAGGAACGTCAGGGCCGCTCTGGGTGACCAGTGTCGACAGTGCTGGCGGCGCACACGCTGGGGTGGCGCGAGGAAGATGGCCTTCTAAGACGGCGCGGGGCTTGGAAGAGGGCCGGTGGCTTCTTGCTTCTTAGAAGTCGCCCTGGCCTCCAAGAAGCTTTCCTGGAAGCCTCCAGGCCCTTCCAGGAAGGCCCCTGCCTTCGTAGAGGCCCCCCCCCTGCTCGCCTGTGTAGGTCGCCGACCGCGCGACGAAGGTACCCGGTCGGAGGAGGTTGACAGCTCTGACTGAGGAGTCATTGCTTGTTCGCTGCCTCCCCCTCCGCAGCGGCGAGCATGATTCCCCTCTCGGGGATGTGACGGCCCCGAGCGTGACGCTCAACAAAAAGAAGAAGAAGAAGAACAAGAAGAAGAAGAAGAAGAAGAAGAAAAAGTAGAACCCCCCCGCTTTCTTTGGCGGCGCCCCCCTCGCGCAACCCCCTCGCGCGCGCCGCCGGCCACGGCCGCCACTGGGCAGCCTACGCTGCGGACTCCGCCCCCGCGGGCGCCTGCGCGCGAGATGCCGACGCCGACGAGGACGACCCGCGGACAGCTCCGCGGCCTCCCCGGCGAGGAGCGGGACGCGTGGCGCGCGGAGAGGCAGCACTACGAGCAGAGGCTCGAGCTCGCCGCGGGTGCCCACCGGGAGCTGGAACGGCGCCTCGGGGCCGCGGATGCCGCGGCGGGGGAGGCCGCGCCGCCGCCCTGGCGTCGTCGCGTCGTGAACACGTCGCGGCGGCGGCGGAAAGGTTTTCGGCCAGTTGCGGCCTCCGGGGGTCCGTGCAGGGCCCCGGGCCTGTCAAAGCCGGCTCAGGATCGAGCAGCGGGTCCCCAGGAAGAGGTCTGGATCTCTGGGAAGCCACGCTTCGAGGGTTCGTAGGGCGGGCTTCTCCCAAGGCGGGGTTGCGAGCGGGAAGCGGGCGCAAAGGGGGCGACCTTCTAAGCAAGCAGGGGGAGGCTCTCAGAAGGCGGGGGGAGGGGGCGTTCTCAGGAGGGCCCGTAGGATTCAGACGAGGCTTTCCAGACCCCCGCGAGTCATGAACAACATACGGTGGGAGGTCTTTCGCTGTTTTCGGCCTCCAGGAGCATTTAAATGCCAGGCCTCGGGACCGTCAAGAAACAACTCAGCATGAGAAGGTTGCCCCAGGGAATGGGTCGAGACCTCTGGGGGCCGAAACATGAATTCGGGGTTCTGGGTGAGGAGCCCAGAGGGCTTCTAAGAAGCCTCTGCCTTCTTACATGCCCCCCGCTTTCGAAGACAGCCCCCTTTGCGCCACTCTAACATGGGGCAAGGGCGAGACGGGTTGGCTTCCTTATCTTCCTAACTCTTGGCCGTCGGGAGGTGCCTGGGGTCAAGAGCAGCATCAGACCCTCGCTTGATGGGCACACTTGAGAAACTCGCACGCGCCTCGCTCGGGGCCGGCTGACCCATTTGCCACCCTGTTTGACAGTTGCGGGCCGGGGCAGTCATGAGGGGGGGTGACGACTAGGGGGGGTATCATGGCCAGGGCCATGACATCTACTAGGATTTCATGGCCCCCTCTTCTTCTGTTAATGCGTACACTGGCCCTTCCCTCGTCCGCGCACACGCCCAGGGCCATGAGTTACGAAACCCCCTCTTGCACGCCACCCTCTTGGACGCCCCCGCGCAGGGCTGTCCTCTCCCGGACTACAGACGTAGCCTCCAGTCTCCATGAGGTCCGAGGAGGTTAAAACGGGGACCATGACCAAGACTAAACGCGAAAACGTCGCGTCGACCTTGGTCACCGTTCATCTTGGACAGCGTCAATTCGTGGAACATCCTCGCAAATCGGCGACAGCCAGCATTGACCATGAAACAGATTGGTCATGGTCAGCGTTTTTCGTCCGTCGGAAGAGTAGCGGGATCTTTCTCAGCGGGCCACTTTCCTCTTAGAAAGCGGCCACCTCTCCCCCTCTCCCCCCCGCGGTAGCGCAGGTTGCGACTGCTACCAGGCAGATGCAGCAGGCCTTGCGCCGCTCCCTCCCCTCTCAGGGGGTCTGAGAGGGGAGGGGTCCGGCATGCCAGGTGCCCTCGCGCCAAATCTGACATCCTGCCACCCGCGCCCATCCCAGTTCTCAGATGTTCTGTCTGTCCGAGTGCGCGTGTCATGGCGGACCTGGAACTCTCAAAACGACCTCATCGTGTCATGCGCAGTCGGAAGAGGGGGAGCTGCGTACATAGGAGGAGGAGAAGGAGGGGGAGGAGGAGGAGGAGGCGGATGAACAAGAGGATGAGCAAGATGAAAAGGAGGAGGTCAGGACAGGGCGCGCGTGCGTAATCCGCAGCCAGAACAGTAGCGATTGCGGTGCAGGTCTTGGTGCATTTTTGCTGTGAACTGGTGACGGACTTCGGGAGCAATCCAGCACTGCCGCTTGCGCGTTGGGCGAATTCCTGTCGGCTTGCTGTTCGCGGGTGGGGCTGCGAAAGTTGCTGCGTCCAGATGGCGTCGGTACCGCCGAGCGCCGCCGATGGATTGGTTACGGGATTTTCGTGCCGTGTCGACCGGCGGCGACCTCGCCGCCAGCGTTCAGCTGTGAACGCCGCCAGAGACCCAGAATCTGTCGAGGTTGAACGGGGTCGGCACGACACGAAACCGCCGTAGTCCTGGTGCATCGGGACGCCCACGTAAGCCGACCGCATGCAGCGGGTTCGCTCACCCCCTCTCCCCTGCCTGACTGCCCCTTGTGTGCATCGGAGGGCGGGAGCAAGAGGCCAGGGCGGCGAGAGAGCGCATCTGGAATAAACCACAATAGGGGCAGGCGAGAGCATGTTTCTTGAGCATGTTGCAAGGAAACCTCGAGCGAGAACGCGGTTCTTGATCGAGGGCGCGACTCCTGCATAACTCTTGAGGAGGTCCCACGCGAGCGCGCGATTCTTTATTTAGTTGCGAGGATGTATGGAGCGAAAGCGCGATTCCTGAATACATTGCGAGGAACTATCTGGCGTGGGCCGTTATTGTGTTGGTCGGGGGCCCAAGGGCAATAATTTGAAAACGGGGGAATCTTACAGTCCTTCATTCTGGGGGATTCCAGTCCGAATCCAATAGCGATCTTCACACAACAAAAATCCGAGCGAAATCTTTCTCACAGGGAATTACTTTGCAAGCTTCCGCGACGAAATCGGATTGTAGTCCTCCAGAACAAAAGGACTTATACTGTAATCCCTTACAACAGACATGCTTATGTGATTGTCCACACAAGGGATACGAGCGTGATCCTCTACATTAGAAATCCCAGTGTAACCCTCGGCAGAAGACAGTATTGCTGTTGTAATGTTCCACATAAGCAATCGTTATACAATGCTCCCCAGCAAGGATTCGCTTGTAAGCCTCCCCAGAAGATGTAATCACCCTCAGAATGAATCCTTTTGTAAAACATAGCCCTAAGCCCTCAGAAGGAAACCCTTCCGCAAAAGAAATCAGAATGCAATGTCCTAAAGCAAATCGTATTGCAATTGTCTTCAAACTCAATCACACCGCAGATTTCCCCGAAGCAAATCATGCTGCCATGATCATTTACATGATATATTGTCACCGCCCTTAGAAATAATTTCTGGAGATTTCCTGGGGCACTGGAGTTCCAGGTCGGCTATGGCACGCGTCCGCGGAAAGAGGAAACTCAGCGCCCTGGGAAGGGATGGGAGGGAGACATCAGCTGCCGGATGTGGCAAGAGCGCAGCCACCTTGTCCCCCCCCCCCCCCCCCCGATCTCGCTCCTCCCCATCACCCCCCTCCTCTCCCGCCTCCCCTCCTCCTCCCCTAGGATTCCCTTCGGGGATCATCCGTTAAAATTGGAACGATACAGAGAAGATTAGCATGGCCCCTGCGCAAGGATGACACGCACAAATCGAGAAGTGTATACAATTTTCTCCTACGCTGGGATCCTCCCCCCCCCTCCCCTCCCGTCCCCATCCCCCCCCCCTTCGCCTCCTCCGCCCTCTTCGCCGCCCCCGCCAGCCGTCGCCCCGCCCCCCTCCGCGGCAGAGGCCCCTCCTCGGCCCGCTGGCCCCGGTCCTGGCCGCGGCGGGGCGGGCACGAGCTTCGGGGCCCCGGAGGAGCTGCACGGCTTCTCCCAGAAGGTCCGCTTGGGGAGCGGGAGCGCCGCGTGCGCCCGGTGGGCTGCCGCTGCTGGCGCCTGCAGGAGGAGGAGGCGGAGGAGGAGGAGGAGGAGGAGGAGGCGGAGGAGGCGGAGGAGGAGGAGGAGGAGGGAGGGAGGGAGGAGGAGTAGGAGGAGGAGGCGGAGGAGGAGGAGGAGGAGGAGGAGCTGGTCCGAGGAGAGGGCCCCAGGGACCAAGACCGTTTCTTCCAGGACCGGATTCCGAAGTGGCAAGAGAGAGAGAGAGAGAGAGAGAGAGAGAGAGGGGAGCGGGATAAGATAGAGGAGGACACCCGTAGGAAAGCTGCAAACTCGGCTGCGAGGGTGACCGGTACCTGAGGTACCGGTCACCCTCTGGCCAACCGCACGTCTTGGATACAGCACTTCCCAATTCACCCAGCGAGATCGGTTCACGATTCGCTGAATTCGACTCGCCCGGCGAGGATGATTTCTTAACCGTCTTCCAATCTGCTGGACGGGATTCCGGAAACTGGAACATCTACATTACCAGTGGTGGGTTTTGTTTCAATCCCAGGAGGACTTTTTTGCAGGTCGGGGACGACGTCGGGGTGGTGTGGTGTGTACTTCTCCCCCGTTTTCCAAGGGAAACAACGAAACATGTATACACCAGGATCCCGTATACACCAGGATCCGCGTTCCTGTGCGAATTTCAGCGCAGGGTTCGTTCCCCTAGGATTCTCCAGCGACAGGCCCCAGGCACCAGTCTTCGTCAGATGATCGGTGCCAGGCTTGACCAGTGGGCCCTGATCTTTGCACGTCCACCCCCCCTGCTTCCGCCCTCGGCGGGGACAAGGTGCAGTCAGGCGGCAAAAGTGGACACAGACACGCTCAACCATCAATCTGTATGGAAACATGGGAAAATATGGGAGATGGAGGGGAACACGAATATCCAGAAAGTATAGACAAATACAAGGAATCCTGGAATTTGTATCTATTTCTGTGTGTCTCCCTGGGACCTTTTTATGCGGTGCAATCTCGAGTGCCCCATTGCGCCAGGCTTCGCGAATGCATTTGCTCTCTTCCAGTGCGCGTCCGACGGTCCGCCCATGCATGTGAAGAAAGGCATGGCACGCGAGGTAGCCCGATACGAGCTTACCTGGTCACTGAAGCCGCCCAGGGCGTACTTCAACATGCAAGGGCGTCCCATGTGGTTTATTTTGACGCACAGTAGATATCCCGGACTCTGATCGAGGCTTCATGCGATTGATCGTTTGGATTCTCGGGTGAGGTTTTTGATTCACGAAATGGCTTGTTAGGTTGGTTGCCTTTTCCTCCACCCGTGCATGTGTGTGCCGCTGCTGATTCAAATGGTGGGGTTTGTGCCTGTTGCTTTCCTTTTACCTCCACTTCCTCCTGTACGAGCTAACTGGTTTAGTTGTTATGGTATGCGTTGACTCCTCTATCGATTACCTCATTCGGCGAAGCATTTCTTCATCATGGTCATCATCATTAACATAAGCAACAGCATCATTATCATCATCATCACCATCATCACCATCATCATTAGCAGCATCATTATCACCATCATCATCGTCATCATCATCACCGCCGTCGTCGTCATCAGCATCAGCTCCAGTATCATCATCACCATCATCACTATTACCCTTACCATTACCATGACCGCCGCTGTCAGAAAGCAGTTCCCATCCGAGTTCCTACTGGTACTCCCAGAGATGTTCGTGAAGTCCAGCGTGCCTTCTCACCCTCGTGGACAGCGACGCTTGGCATTTAAAGCCAAGGGCGTGTGGTCGGACTCGTACCGGCTCGGTTCGACTGGCTATGGGAACGACCTCAACGTCAGCTCAGACAGCGAGGTCTGCGTATTGTTTCACCTCCATTTTGATGCCGAGGGCGTGGTCGAGTCCACGCCTAACATTCCAGGTCAAGCAGAATGGACGATCTCTTGACAAGAAGCTCGTGAGCTCCGTAGCCATTTTGGCTCAAGCCATGCTGGCTCAAGGCTCCATGCGGGGCTGAGCTCGGCATGGTGGCTGCGGGAGAGCCCCACCGTGGGGTGGCCGGTGCGCGCGCGTCCGCCGACCGGCTCATTTTCAAGCTGAAGACCAGGCTGGTGGCCGCTGACCGCAAGGCTCTCGCCTTCGAGTCTGCGCTGCTGCACCTCTTCGGCGACGCGGAGGTTGCGGAGCGGGTGGCCTGTATTCTTCCTGCCCTCACGTCCCCCCTCGCGGGCGAGCGGCCCGAGGAGCTGGACATCCTTCGACGCAACGTGGCGCTCCACTCCGAGGGGCCCTGCGGCGTGTCTCTGGTCTCAGCTGGCCATGCCGAGCTGCGCAAGGCCCAGAAGCACGCGCGTAGGCTCGAGGCGAGGAGGGCGGACACCCAGCCCGCGGCTCACGTGCAGTTGCAGGGCTTCCCGCCCCTCGTGGCCGAGAGCGGGCTCCGTCGTGACGCGCCCCCTTTCGTCCCGAGCACGGGCTGCTGGGTGCCGCTGGACGGCTGCGGCCGCCTCTGCACGTGCGGCGCGACGTACTACTCGTCGTGCTCCCCGCTGCCGCTCTCTGTCGAGGAGGTGTTCGAGGATCACGGCGACGAGGACTCTCCGTGTGGCGAGGCGGCTGCTGCTGAGTTTCCGACCACGGGCAGCAGGCGTGGGTGCCGCGCGGCCGCGCCGCCGACGGGCCGTCGGCAGCCTGTGGCTCGGCCCCTCATGCAGGATGCCGACGTCGAGGCGAAGCTCGTGGCGGACGTTATCGCGAGCGTCTCCGAGGAGGTCGGCGACGGGATCGAGGGGGCGACCCTCGATGGCGATGACGGCGGCGTCGACGAGAAAAGCGAGCCCACGGTCGAGCTGGAGGCGCTCGTGGGGCGGCTGGGCGCGCTGGTGGAGGGCGCCGAGCCCACGGTCGAGCTGGAGGGCGACCTGGCGGCGCTGTCCGTACGGCAGGGCGCGCTCGAGGAGAGCGCCGAGGCCAAGTGCGAGCTGGAGGCGCTCTCGCAGCGGCCGTGCGCGCTGGAGGCGACCTCGGAGCAGCTGGTCTCGCAGAAGGGCGGCCTGGCCCCGCGTTTTAAGAATTTGGGTCTCGAGCTTTCCTTGGAGCATGTTGACATCGCTATGCGTAGGCCGACGTGGGCCGCGATCAAGCTAGCCCCCTCTATCTTAGCGTCTAGATCAAAAAGCTGGACCGACAGTTGGAGCACTGGTTCTAGGTATAGACAGGCGACCTCTCTGTGTAGATCCGGGTGCGGCTCGCATGGCGCCAACAATATGAAATACTACCTCCGCCGCCCAGTCGCAGCGCCCACAATCCTTAAAGCAATCGCCTTCGCTCCCAGCGTAGTGGGAGGAAGCGGCTTTTTCACATATCCCTTGTCTCGACCCCCTCCCATTGCCGACTCTGCGAGCCTGTGGTCGTTTTTCGTTGCCGCCGATCTTTTGCGCATTGCATTCTGCGGCTTCCGCGCGCGCCAGGCGATCTCGTCGCCTTTTGCCTGTCCTTTCTTTCACAGGCGCCTGCGCGCCTTGGTGCGGTAATGCGATTGCGTGCCGGCGTTCACCACCGCGTGACCGAGCTCGCAAAGACTTCCGCGGGGGGGAGTCCGCATCATCATCGCCAACACCATCACCATTATCACCACAATCTCCATCCACACCACAATCGTCATTAAGACTACAACGCCATCGTTTTCGTCATCACCATTCCCACTTGCACACACACACACATACCCTTTCTCTTCCAACATCTTGTCTTACGTAGAACTCCTCGTCTGACCACCAAGCGCGCCGGTAGGACGGAGCCGGCGTTCCGCTTGAGATTTCCTCTCCGCTTTTGGTCATGAAGCTTGAAATTCTTGACACTCCGCGAATCCCATTAGCCCATACAGAAAAGATGCCCATGAGAGCTGACGGGGGGAAAGAGGAAAAGGCACGCATAGTCAAAAGGCGAGGGAGGCCGGCCTGGACGGCGTGTTGGGGCCATCTCAGGGCCCACGTGGGGGGGGGGGGGGGGCGACAATGCGGAGGAGAAGGAGGAGGAGCAGGAGGAGGAGGAGGAGGAGGCGGAGGAGGGAGGAGGCAAGTGGAGCAAGACGAGGAAAAGGAGGACGAGGATGAGGAGGACGAGGACAAAGAGAGAGGAGGAGGAGGAGGAGGAGGAGGAGGAGGAGGAGGAGGAGGAGGAGGAGGCATCTTGAGGCTTCGGAAGGCCATCGAAAGCAAAAAGGCGAGAAGGCCAATTTCATAGGTTCCCTTCAGGTTGTTGAAGGATGTTGGCCTCTTGGCGGCCTCCTGGGGAGGCTCCGTGGCCATCTTCAGCCGTCTTGGAGCGGTCTTCGGGCCTCTTGGAGCATCTTGGGGGCCATCTGGAGCTATTTTGGGCTATCGTGAGCCATCTTGAAGGTCATCTTGGGCTCTCTGAGGCCCCTCGGGGGCCGCTTGAGGGCATCTCGGGGGCCTCTCGGGTGCGTTTTGGAGGCCTCTTGGGGCTTCTTGGGACGCTCTTTGGACCCTCTTGGGAGCCTCTTCGGAGCCATGGAGGGCCTCTTGGGGCCATCTTGGAGGCGGTCGGTCAAAAGAGCGGGGGGGGTCTCGATTTGCGCCCCCCCCTCGGAGGCCACGATCCTCGTAACGGGTTGCAGAAAAATTGCCCTCCCAGGGGGCGGAACAAGGACCCTCTGACACTTGGCGATCCCTCCAAAAAAAACATCAGGGAGGGGAGGGGGAGGGTTCCCCTCCCCCAAGGAAAGGGGGGCTGTGGAAGAGGAAACAGACCCTCGTTAGACCACCTGTCGCCCAAAGGGCTGATGGGACTCCCAACAGCTCCAACGATGGAGGGCGGGCCGTTTTCAAAATGGAGCTCGTGCCACAGCGCCGCGCACATTAGCCTTAGATGTTTTGAAGCAGTTGCAAAGATGGAGGGCTGCCCCTTTTCAAAACAGGAGTTTCGCTTCAGCGTCGCGCACACGCCGTGAAAGCGTCTAATAACTGCAGAATGGAGGGCGGTTCGTTGCCAAGATCGGGCTCTCGCCCCTGCGCCGCGCCCATTCGTCTTAAACGCTTGCAACAGCGGCGCGGATGGAGAGTGATCCCTTCCCAAAACGAGGATCTCGGTCAAGACCCCCTGACACCTGAAGACCAGAAGGGTGAGCAGGTGCAGCAGCTGCACGGACGGAGGGCACGTTTCCCAAATGATGATCTCGTTCGAGACCTCCCTAAATCATGAAGATCAGCACGATGAGCAGATGCAGCAGCTGCACGGATGGAGGGCGGGGCCTTCTTCAAAATGGGGCTCTCGCTCGAGACGCCCTCGAACCCCATGACCAGCAGTGTAGACCTGGGCAGCAGCCACACCGGTCGGGACCGTTTGTTTTCAGAGCGGAGACGTCGGTGGACACCTCGTCGAGCTGTATGGCAACACCGTTGCGATTATGTGACCATCCGCAAGAAAGGGTGCAAGGGAGCTTTGTTTCAAAACAAATGTTCGCGAAATATGGTAGGCCAAGAGGGTGCTGGTCTTTCAGGGGGGCGCTCCTTGTAGTGAAAAAGAAGGCCTGCGGCGACTTCAGAGGAGGGGACTTGGGACGAGAGAGCGTATTGCAACATCGTCGACACATCCTGGGCTTATTCTGATCCTCCTCCTCCCTCCTCCTGCTCTCCTCGTCCTCCCTGATTCCTCCTCCTCCCCTTAGCCCCGTAGGGCCAAAGGCTGGAGGCGATCGCAGAAGGAAGGACCGCCACGTATGCGCGGGAATCTCCCCAATGGGTCACAGACAATGTGCTGTTTCCTCCTCCCTCCCTCCCTCCCTCTTCCCCTCCCTCTTCCCTCCTCCCTGCCTCCCTCCCTCCCCTTCCCTACCTCATCCTCTCTCCCTCCAGGTGTTGTGGTCCGAGGCGCCCCATTTTGGGCTAGCAGCCCGACAGACCACGACCCCAGCCCCGCGGGGCGACTTCTCTCATCTTGCCCACGTGTGGTGACTCGAGAGCGGCCTGCGCACGGCGCTGTGCCACCCGAGTCGCCCGCGACACATGTGTGAGGACGCCACCGCCGCCCCGCCCTCGTTAAGGGCGACACCGGTGGCGCGCGCCGCGCGGCGGCGGGCGCGGCTGTGGCGGACGGCCGCGCGGCGGGCTCAGCAGCAGGGCGCGGAGGTCTTGCACCTGCTGGACTCGCCCGCGGTCGGCTACGCCCCCGGCTGCTGGGCAGTGCTTCCCGATCCTGCCGACGCCTTCAAGGAGGGCTTGGCGGCCGGCTGGCGACTCGCAGGCGGCGAGGACGCTTGCGAGAAGCGGGAGGCGAAGGCAGAGCCCGACACCATATGCTGCAGCTCCGAGATCAGGGCATGCGGGAAAAGGAAGGCGAAGTTGGAGCCCGTTATCCCTCCTAGCCACAGCTCTGAGAACAGCGCGCGCGAGAAGTTGGAGGCGATGTTAGAGCCCGACATGACCTGCTACAGTACTGCAATCAGGGCGTGTGAGGCTCAGGAGGCGATGGGAGTGTGCCAGGCGAAGCTGGAGCCTACCATCATTAGCCACAGTTCTGTGAACAGTATGTGCGAGATGTGGGAGGTGAAGGCAGAGCCCAACAGGATCAGCTACAGCGCTGCGATCAGGACGAGCGCGAAGGGGAAGGCGAAGTTAGAGCCAGTTATCCCTATTACTGGCCACAGCACGGGGACCAGCGCGTGCGAGAGGTGGAAGGCGAAGGAAGAGCCCGACACCATCAGCTACAGCGCTGAGATCAGGGCATGTGAGAAGGGGAGGGCGCAACAGAAGCCCAGGGAGAAGTGCGATGAAGGGGAGGCGAAGGTAGAGCCCACTATCGTCGCTAGCCCTATCACTTGGAACAGCGCCTGCGAGAAGTGGGAGGCGACGTTAGAGCCCGACACGTCACTTAGCCACAACTCAGAGGCCTGTGAGAAGGGGAAGGCGAAGCTGGAGGCCGCCATCCTCTCTAGCCACAACTCTGAAAACAGCGTGTGCGATAAGTTGGAGACGAAGGCGGATCCCAACATGATCAGCTACAGCGCTGCGATCAGGTCGTGCGAGAAAAGGAAGGCGAAGGTAGAGCCCGTTATCCCCAGCCTCCTTTCTAGTTTACAGCCCTATGTGGACAGCTGCAGTGTTGCGATCGGTACGGGCGAGACCAGGGCGCCGAAGCTTGGGCCCTTTCTTCCTAGTCACTACTCTAGCAGCTGCTGTCGCGGGCCGGCGCTGGCGGGGAGTGAGCCCGACACGATCAGCATCAGTGCGGCAGTCAATACGTGCGAGAAGGCCGCTATCCATCGGTGGGAGGCCAGCGAGGAGCGGGCGCGGCTCCTGAGGGACGCCGACGCCCTAAGGGGGGTGGGGCCACAGACAGCGACCAGGCCCTTGAGAACGACGATATCGGCTGCAGGAGATCGTTCGGCGCGGCCGAGCGGCGATTGCAGCATCAGTGATCTGCTGGGGCAGCTCGGGGAAGCCACACGTTCGGCGGCGGCGGCAGCGGGTCCCAGTCCCAGTGTCGCTTCGACCGCTGGCAAGCCTCCCGACTGTCAGCAGCAGTGACACTTCTTCTTCTACCTGGTGCTCGCGGAGCGCTACCTTGTGCTCCTGGTCGCCGTGGAGGTCTGGGTAGAGAGTTGTGTCCTCCTTTCATTCGCACCGCGATAGAGCCGATCCGATCCGATCCTCTCTCCCTCCCTCCCACCTCCCTCCCACCATCCATCCTCCATCCGGCTCCTCCTCCCTTCCTCCCTGCCTGCCTCCCTCTCCCTCCCTCCCTCCCTCCCTCCACGTGGGGACGACCAGGAGGTGATGCCAGTATCCCCCCTGGGAGGGCCTCCTGAGGCCTCGTGATGCTCACTCGGGCCTCCTGAAGCCTTCTCTGGGGCCTCCTGGGACCTCCTGGGGCCTCTTTGGACCTCATGGGGCCTATTGGGACCTACTGGGGCCTCCTCAAGCCTGGGGTCTCCTGGGGCCGGCCTCCTGGGACGTCCTGGGACCTCGGCGGCGGTCATGATTTGGACATGACGATCGCGAGGGAACAGAAACGATTGACGGTGACGAAGAGCACGAGCACACGATGATCATCTACTCTCGCTCGTAATGCTGCGCCTTGGCCTGTTGAGCCACTCGCCCTCTGCACCCGACCCTCCAGTGCAAGGCAATGGCCATCTCGGCCGCCCCAACCTCGGGTGATGCCAGACTGCCCTGCAAAGCAAATTAGGTGCACCCTTCGCAGTGCATGCTGCATTCCGCTGCGAGCTCAGATTTTGCGCGCGTAGACCGGCGCAGCACCCGCGCATCGTGTAACGAGCCTGACGCCGTGGGCTTCAAATGCTGCCGAACACCGTCCAGAAGCGCATGAGCCGCAATCGGCGCGTTCGGATGACCATGAGCTTACAGATTCCTGGTGCCCCGGAGGACCACAGGCACAGCCCGAAACGGCCTACATGAGCCCCTGGAGACCCTAAGCGGTCCGAACCCATTCAAGAAAATTACCGGGTATCACTCACGAGCTCCCAGGACTCACCGCGACGATGCGGAGGTGGGGC